GAAAACAACTAGTTCCAGGAGTGAAATACAAACCATAAGTTTTGACTGTACCGCTGGAAAGGTGTGAAATCAATCTAGCTTGGCAAAATGACACTCATCAGCAGGTCCACTTCAGATAAATATAAAAAATCATGTCATCAAAATCAACGATATCATTCAGATCAATCTGAGGGCGACTCACTAGACTTTCCTGCCCCAGCCTATTGTCAACTCTCCCTTGAAATGTTCTTGCAGTCATACCATTGAACAAACAAAGAAAAAATATTCTAGCATTCAAGATTTGGCCTTACATGTCACATTTTTCATGGCTTGACTCGCTTGGACTTTGTCATGGATCCCTTTTCATCCGTCACTTTGATGTATAATTTTTTGCGATACCTTGGATAGTTGGTTGTCTTCCTAAACCTTCCACTACAATCTCAGCCACCTCTAGACTTTTTTCCCTTCTAAAAAAATCTCAGCCACCAATTGGAATGGAAGAAAACCGATCGCTACGTCATTTTCCTCTTGCAAATATGGGCCAAAGAGCTAGCTACTCGATTGCTGCAAATAAATTACATACCACAAAGCAGAAACAAGCAATACACACTTCCCGCTCCCACGAAAGCAATAAATTCCTGCATCTGATTGAGTTCTTACAGCTGCAGAAATGCCTAACCTTTTGCATCTACCCTTCCTTTTACCCATGCTACTTTCCGTGGCCCTAAACCTTGTATGCTTCACCACTGTCACCAGTGAGGATCAGTTCGTCTACTCGGGCTTCTCCGGCAATAACTTCACCCTCGATGGAACAGCCACGGTCACCAGACGGTGTCCTTGAGCTGACCAATCACACAGTACACCTTAAAGGCCATGCGTACGTTCTACCCAGCTCCATGGCGATTCCGCAAGTCCCCTGGTGAGATGGTGCAGTCTTTCTCAGTTACCTTTGTATTCGGTATGGTCCCCATCTACTCTGATGAATGTACCGATGGCATGACTTTGCTAATCTCTCCGACCAAGGATTTCTCTGGTGCACAGCACTCACAATACTTGGGTCTCCTCAACAAAACAAGTGACGGCAAAGCAAGCAGCCACATATTTGCAGTCGAGCTTGATAGTAGCCAAAATACCGAGTTCAATGACATTGATGACAACCACATAGGCATCAACATCGACAGTCTCACCTCATTTCAGTCCCGATCAGCTGCCTTCTACGATGACAAGAATGGTAAATTCCAAAACTTGTCCCTTGTGTTGGAACCCGATCTGCTGAATCGCCCGAACGTCGACGAATGGCGGCGGGCGGTGGTGACCATGACGAGCCTTGCGAGTAGATGGAAACACAATAACAATAAAACGAGAAAAGGTGGATTATGACGCTGCTAAAACGCAGCTTATTTCGGCCCCTCTATTCTTATATTTATAGACTCGAGTTTACACAAACTCCCCACGCCGTTCCGCACAGGTGCGCTGCACCGTTTCACCGCGATGCGCGCCACATGCGCCGTGCACGCCACGGCGTGGCTCAACCGAACCAGACAGGCTAGATCATGATCGAGCATGTCATCGACCATGCCTTGCCCCTATTCTAACTGACGCTGGACTCCAACAGAAACAAAGATTACATTGCAACAAATTAGCTAACAAATCTCCCCCTAACTTGTTGCACCTCAACGACGCCAAGAGCGCTCCTCAGCTCCACGAACCTGACCCGCCCGAGCGACTTCGTGAAAATGTCTGCAAGTTGGTCTGCAGTCCCGACATGCTCCACCTCCACCTTTCCTTCTTCTATGCATTCACGAATGAAATGAAACTTGGTATCAATATGTTTACTGCGATCATGATGCACATGATTCCTGCTCAGGGCTATCGCGGACATGTTGTCCATCAGCAGTTTCACTGGCGCCTCCTTTGTTCCCAATACATCAGCTATCAGCCGGCTCAACCACACGCCTTGACAGGCTGTTGCCGCCGCCGCCACATACTCCGCTTCGCATGAAGACAATGCAACGATCTTCTGCTTCTGCGAAGCCCAAGTCACCAAGCTACTGCCGAGAAAATACACAACACCCGTAGTGCTCTTCCTGTCCTCAGCATCTCCTGCAAAATCACTGTCGCTATACCCGGGCAAGATAGGTTTTAGCCCAGTGCCTTTCTCATACTTGCAGCCGTAGCCCATGGTGCCCTTCAAGTACCTTAGAATGCGTTTGACAGCAATCCAATGGTCTTTTCCCGGAGCCTCCATGTATCTGCTCACCACCCCTACCGAATAGGCTAGATCGGGCCTGGTGTTTACTATGTATCTGAGACTTCCGATAATACTTCTATACGCTGTTGGTTCCACAGCCTCTCCCTCTTTACTCTTGTAGAGCTTCAGTCTTGGTTCCATTGGGGTGTCACATGCATTGCAATTTGTCATGCCTGCACTTTCCAATATCTTCACCGCATATGAACCTTGACTCAAGGTGATCCCTTTCTCTCCTTGTTTCACTTCAATCCCCAAGTAATAACTAAGGAGCCCGAGGTCACTCATGCTGAACTTCCTTTTCATCTCTGCTTTAAACTTCTCAATGTCACCCACACAGGGCCCTGAGATGATCAAGTCATCAACATATACCCCCACAATGAGAAAAGAGGCCTTGCTATTCCTCTTGTACACAGCATGATCCATGTTGCTTTTCACAAAGCCTAGAGCCAAAAGCTCCTTGTCAAGCTTAGCATTCCAGGCCTTAGGTGCCTGCCTCAAGCCATATAGAGCCTTCTTAACTTCAACACTTTGTCACCATTGCCTACTATGAAACCAGGGGGCTGCTTCACATAAACCGTTTCAGACAAATCTCCATTCAGGAATGCACTTTTTACATCCATATGGTGTACTTGCCATCCACCCTGCGCTGCTAAAGCCAGCAAAACCCTCACTGTTTCAATTCTAGCAACTGGTGCAAAAACTTCATCGAAATCAACTCCCTGCACTTGAGCATAACCCTTTGCCACTAGCCTGGCTTTATGCTTGACAATGTTACCATCAGGATCCTTCTTCACTTTAAAAACCCATTTGAGACCAATAGCATTTTGATTCCTCGGGAGATCACAAACTTCCCAAGTTTTATTAGCCTCAATTGCCTGCATTTCAGCTTTCATAGCATTCCTCCAGCAGAGTTCTGTCAGAGCTTGATCAACTGAACTTGGTTCCTCTGCTACAACCAGGCATACCCCGCTGTATTGCAACTGGACTTCATTTGTTGTATCCAGTAGGTTCGGTATTGTCCTATACCGCAGTGGCGCTCCCTCTGAATCCACAGCACCATCAGTAGGGGGCGTTGCCCACTGTATTTGATTTCCTCCATTTGATCTGCCAATGGAGTGCTCCGGAGTGTATGGTGACTCACCACCTGCACCCCCAAGGGGTGGAATTGACTGAACAGGTGAGGCTGGCTCACTCGCCTCCCCCGAATCGCCCAAGGCATCGAGATCTTCAGCGGTGTCCCCTATTGTCGGACCCGCTGCAGTAACCTGTTCATCAGGATAGAACACACTGAAACTCAGTTCAGTGTCAGTGTCTGCTTCAGTAACACCTGTTCCTTTCTCCCCCCAATTCCAGCCCTTCTTCTCATTGAATACGATATCCCTTGAGATCATGAGCTTCTTATTCACCGGATCATAGATCCTATAAGCCTTCGATCCCGGTTCATAACCAAGAAAAACTCCTGGAATGGCCCTGTCCGTCAGTTTTGATATACCCGGACCAATCCGCTTGGCATAAGCCAAACACCCAAACGTTCGCAGGTGACGAACTCCAGGTTTCTTGCCAAACCACGCCTCGTAAGGCGTCTTGCCATCCAGGCTCTTCATCGGTGCTCGATTAAGCAAATACACCGCCACCATTACTGCCTCCCCCTAGAACCGGCCAGGAACCTGCATACTCTTGAGCAAGCAGCGAGCCATCTCCACAACCGATTGGTTTCTCCGCTCTACTACGCCATTTTGCTGCGGGGAATATGGTGCAGTTGTATTGCATTTAATACCATTTTCATTACAATAAACTGTAAACACACCTGAATTGAATTCGCCTCCTCTGTCAGTTCTGAATGCCTTCAGTCGCTTTCCAGATTCGGCTTCAGCAGCTGCCTTCACCTTCTTGAAACTTGCAAAAGCTTCATCCTTCGACCTCAACAGCTCCAGCCACATATAATGGCTGAAGTCATCAACGATTAACAGGAAGTACAGCTTGCCTCCTGGTGTGGCTGGTGTGACTGGACCGCATAGGTCTCCATGCACCAGCTCGAGTCCGGTGTTTGCTCGATACGCCGATGCCCGGGAAAAGGCGCGCGGTGCTGCTTGCCTAGTGCGCAGCCATCGCAAACTTGCTCGGCACGGTGGATCAGCGGGATGCCATCCACCATCTCCTTCGCCCCCAGATCACGAAGCGACCTGAAATTTAAATGGCCATACCGTGCATGCCAGAGCCACGCCGCCTCGTCCATCTTCATCATTAGGCACACTGGTACGGTGAGGTTGACCTGCATGATGTAAAGTCGTTTCTTCCTCTCCGCCTTTATCAGAACACTCATCTTCCCTTGTGAGCGCTCAAACACCTGCATGACCCCGTGATCTATCTCCACACGGCAGCCAGCTTCCTCCAGTTGCCCAAGGCTAACAATGTTGCAACGGAGTGATGGTATGTAATATACCTCAGTGAGTACTCGATGATCTTGGTTCTTCCCGGTGATCGTGACTGCACCGATCCCGCAGATCTTAACCTTCGATCCATCTCCGAACCGCACCGCCCCCTTGACTGTCTCATCGAGCGACGCCAGCGATTCACGACACCCCGTCATATGATTTGTGGCGCCAGTGTCGAGTACCCACGCCCCCCGGTCGTATGATGCCGGGAACACGCGTTCCTGATTCAGGAACACCTGTTGTGTAGCTGCTGTCGTGGATCGAACCACATTACACACATGCGCCACCAACAGTGCTCCATTCTCTCCGTCAGCATTGGCATGGTGTGCGGCCTCCTACCGCTCCTTCAGAGGTGCTTTCTTGCACTCCTTTCCCCAATGCCCATAGACGCCGCACTTGCGGCATTTTCCTTTCCGTCGTGGTGTTCCCATCGACATAAGTTTGGGCTCACACCCTTCACCACTGCCATTGTTCTTGCGCCTCCAGTGCTTCTCCTTCTTCAACAAGTGTCCACCGCCTCCACCACCCTTTGCAGTAGATGTGGATGATTCTGACACCATGCGACTCTTGTTCTTCTCAGCCCATTCTTCCTCCGTTAACAGGAGTTTTTCGGCTTTCTCCGTGACCTGCTCCATCATGGGCTCAAATCTTTCCTCGACCGCCCGTAGATGGCCGATCAGCTCCTCGATGGTCAAGTTTTTCAGATCCTTGAACATCTCGATTGCTACTGCCACCTAGCTGTAGCGAGACGGCACCACACGAAGGAATTTCTTCACCACGCGTGCATCGGTCACAGTTTCCTCCCCGAGGCCACGTAGATCCGTGACTCCGGATTGCGAAGTCATCAATTGTTTCTCCCGGCTTGAACGCGATCGCCTCGAACTCGGCCAGGAGCTTTTGAGCGTTAACTTCCTTGACGCGATCTGCTCCAAGACGCGTCATCTTGATTGCTTCCCAATCCTCCTTCGCCGTCTTCTTGTTCAAGAGCATGGAATGCATCTCCTGCGGCACTCCACGGAGCATCGCTCCCAGTGCCAGCCGATCTCGGCGTCTTTCGACTTTTTCATCCTCGATCGCTACATCCCCTCGAGATTGCACTGGATATGGGACGACCAACCCTGGTAGTTGGTGCGAGTCAACATCGGCCACGTCAAGTTTCCAGCGGCCTGATTAAACGCCCGCTCCATCGTCTCCTTCTCCGCCTTGTTGCTCTCCTCTCCCATGGCGACTGCTTTGGCGTTTACGTCTCCCTCTTCTCCGACTTGATGGATTGCACCACCAGACTTCCTCTACTCCTTCTCACCACCGACGAACGTCACCCCCTCGGCTCTGATGCCAATTGTTGGAACCCGATCTGCTGAATCGCCCGGAACGTCAACGAATGGCGGCGGGGCGGTGACCGCGACGAGCCTTGCGAGTAGATGGAAACACAATAACAATAAAACGAGAAAAGGTGGATTATGACGCTGCTAAAACGCAGCTTATTTCGGCCCCTCTATTCTTATATTTATAGACTCGAGTTTACACAAACTCCCCACGCCGTGCCGCACAGGTGCGCTGCACCGCGATGCTCGCCACATGCGCCGTGCACGCCACGGCGTGGCTCGACCGAACCTGACAGGCTAGATCATGATCGAGCATGTCATCGACCATGCCTTGCCCCTATTCTAACTGATGCTGGACTCCAACAGAAACAAAGATTACATTGCAACAAATTAACTAACACCTTGTTAGTCGCAAAGAGATGCAATTTTGGGTGGACTATAATGGAGAGACCGCACAGATCAACGTGACACTGGCTCCCCTCAGGGTAGCCAAACCATCCAAACCTCTACTGTCAGCTACCTACAACCTCTCAACAGTGTTGGAAGACCCATCCTACATTGGCTTCTCTGCATCAACTGGTCCAATCAATTCACTATATTGTGTGCTCGGCTAGAGCTTAGGCATTAATAGCCCAGCTCCAGTTATTGATATCGCCAGGTTGCCAAAGCTACCAACTGTTGGCCCGAAACCTCTGTCCAAGGTGCTTGAGATCGTCCTACCAATAGTCACAGCCACATTCATTGTCCTAGTTGGGACAACTATAATTCTATTTGTGCGGAGGCGAATGAAGTATGCTGAGGTACAAGAAGATTGGGAAGCCGAGTTCGGGCCACACAGCTTTCCCTACAAGGATTTATTCCATGCTACGGATGGATTCAAGAATAAGAATCTACTTGGCTTAGGAGGATTTGGGAAGGTGTATAAAGGTGTGCTCCCTATCTCAAAATTAGAGGTTGCTGTAAAGAGGGTGTCACATGAATCAAATCTGGGAATGAAGGAGTTTATTGCTGAGATTGTCAGTATTGGCCGTCTCCGTCATCGCAACCTGGTCCAGCTACTTGGTTATTGTCGAAGGAAAGGTGAAAAGTCTTGATAAGTATTTACATTGTGAAGAGGGTATGCCCACTCTGAATTGGGCTCAAAGGTTGTAAATCATCAAAGGCGTTGCATCTGGCCTATTCTATCTGCATGAGAGGTGGGAAAAGGTTGTAATCCACCGGGACATCAAAGCAAGCAATGTGCTACTTGATAGTGAGATGAATGGACGTCTAGGTGATTGTGGTCTTGCAAGATTGTATGATCACGGTACTAACCCACAGACAACACATGTAGTTTGTACCAAGGGATATATTGCCCTAGAACTGGCCCGTGCCGGTGCAAGGCAACACCTCTGACAGATGTGTAAGCATTTGGTATTTTCATTCTTGAGGTAACTTGTGGGCAAAGGCCAATCGATAGTCATGCAGAGGATAGCTCGCAGATCCTAATTGATTGGGTTGTCATGCATTGGTACGAAGGATCACTCACATACACAATGGACAGTAGGTTACAAGGTAGTTACAATACAGATGAGGTATGCCTAGCATTAAATCTAGGATTGATGTGTGCACACACAGTTTGTAACAAGGCCCAGTATGAGGCAAGTCATACAATACCTCAATGGCGAGATGCCACTCCCAGAAATGATGTCCACAAACTTAAGTTATAGCGTTCTGTCCCTGATGCAAAATGAAGGCTTTGATCAGTATACATCCATATCTGGGAGCAGTGGCATTACCTCCAGCCTCTCAAGCGGAAGGTGACAATAGATCATAGATGACAATCCATCCCAGCCCCCAGGGCTAGACCATGTTGTAATCAGTTGGCCTCGTTAAATTATGGAAGTCTACTGTAATAATTGTTAGTTTTGCCGGCGCAATATTTACCTCAAGTCCACTGTTCTCTAATCTAACTAATTTGAAATGTGAAGTTTGTATTTGTCAAAGTATATGGAATAGATATGAAAGAATCCAGTTTTTATGATACGATAGGATTAGTTTCCATCTCTATGTCTAGGATTCCTACTCGGCCAAAATCCATTATTGCAGGTAGGCATCCCATACGCCTGCAATTAAACGTTTGCACTAATGAGGACCTACGGAGGCGGCCATACGCCCACCTAGGTTAATCAATAAAAAAACAAAAAAAAGCTAGTGATCCCGTCGAAGGGGCTTGCTGAGCCCATCGACGAGGCCCGCCAAAACCATCAAAGCGTCACCGCTCGTCGGATCTGCGAGCACCCATCATTGCCGCTACTCAGATCCGGACGGCCACGAGTGCCCGCTCCACGCCGCCACGAGCAGAGCAGCCCCCGCCGCCGCAAGCACAAGCGGCCGCACGCCACGTGCCCCACCGCCATGCTGCCCCAGCCGCATCTGGCCCCGCCAGGGGCCGCACTGCCTTGCCACCCCCGCCGCTCGTGTTATTTGCCACCCCCGCCGCGTCTAGCCCAACCCTATCTGCCGCGTGAGGAAGAGGGAGGCGCACCGCCGCGCGAGGAAGAGGGAGGCGCGCCGCCGCGCAGGTGAAAGGGAGGTGCGCCACCGTGTGGAGGAGAGGGAGGAGTGCCACTGCACGAAGGAGAGGGAGGGGCACCGCTGCACGGGGGAGTGGGAGGGGCACTGAGAGGGATGGCGCTGCTTGAGCGAGAGGGTGGAGCTGAGAACGAGAGATATTGGATAAGTCAGTGAAAACCATAACTCTAGTATTTATAAGCGTGATAGAAGGTATGATATGGGCTTTGGCTGGGCCTCAGACATATTTACAGAGGCAGGTCTTTTAAGAGGTCCATCTCCAAAAATGAACTCTATTTTCGGAGGTCAACCTCTTAAAAGGCTTGCCTCCGTAAATCCATTTTAGCTAGGAGGCGTACAATTTTTAATCGCCTCTGTAGATAAAACATACGTCTCCAAAAATCCTTAGGTATTTTAGGAGAAAGTTGGATTTTTTGATCGCCTCAGTTAATGATTATGTCGGTGTTTCGAACAAACACCGGCTAGTAAATTTGTAATTTGTTGTGTGTTAGGCCCGGATGGTGCACTAAAGGACACGAGGTTTATACTGGTTCGGGCTGAACGTCCCTATATCCAGTCTGCTGCTGCTCGTGTTATTAGTACCGAAAAAGGTTCGTAGTAGGGGATACAAACGGTCGAGAGAGGGACGGGTCCCAAGTCTCTGATGGAATGGTCGAAAGGTCACCGAGAGCTTAGTCGCTGCTCAGCTGTGCGTGATGTGTGTTGTTGAATCGTATTGATTGATCTCTCTGTGAGTTGATCCGTCAAAAGTCGATCCCCCTAGTGGGGGGCCCTGCCCTCCCTTTTATAGACAAAGGGGGGAGCAGGGGTTACAGATGGGAGAAAGAGAAAAAACAAAAGGCATAGAAGGTCCTTCGAGGGAACCGGGTCTTCCTTTTTCCCTGTGCCTGCCCTGTTTAACATGGCCGACCGTGTCAGATGTGGCATGTTCGTTGATCCTTGTAGGCCATGCCCTGGCCCCATTTAGCAAGTGGGTGCGTCCCATCCTACGCCGGCGGACGGTGCATGCCGGAGAGCCGAGCTGTGACTCCTCGGGGAGTAATCGGGGAAGTGACCACATGTCCGTCACTGTAGATGATGTGAGTTCTGTCTTGGACCGTAGTGGCTGTCGTATGCCTATGTTAGTGTCCGCGCCCGATGGCTGAAGGCGGCGCCTACTATACTGTAGGACAAAACTCGGCGACCACAACACTATTCGGGCACTGTTATGATGGAAAGGGCCGAAAGCACCCGTCCCATCGTATCCTGTCGGTACCTTCCTGCAGGTGCACAAGGCATGACACTCAATATCATGGTTGACTCGAATGTCCTGTCGGACCCTGTGCTCGTCTTTATGAAGGATCAGGGTACGGTCATGGGGCGAGGCGGAGCTAGCCCTCAGTCGTCGGGCGAGGCAGAGTCTTGCCTTTAGCCATCGGGCAAGGCGTAGCCTGGCCCTCGGGGGTCGAGTGAGGCGGGGTCTTGCCCTTTGCCGTCGGGTGAGGCAGAGCCCACCCCCGGACGTCTGGCGAGGCGGAGGCCGCTCTTAGCCATCGAGCGAAGCGGAGTCTAGCCTTTAGCCGTCGGGCGAGGCGAAGCCTAGTCCTCGAGGGTTGGGCGAGACGGAGTCTAGCCCTTCGCCGTCGGGCGAGGCGGAGCCCGCCCTCGGACGTGCGGAGCCCACCCTTAGTCATCGGGTGAGACAGAGTCCAGCCCTCGGTGGTCGGGCGAGGCGGAACTAGTCTTCTGTCGTTCGGGCAAGAAGCGCAGTAGTGCTCTTGTCTGACCGGAAGCATCAACGTTCGATGGTCATTAGTTCCACCTCATTGGGTACCCCGGTATTAGGTCCTCGACAGTAGCCCCCGGCCCCCCGGGTGATTTGGATAGAATCGCCTGGGGGGTATTTCAATACGCCAGAGGGTGCGCGCGAGCGCACCCGTCGGGTGTAGCCCCCGGGTGATTTGGGCAGAATATCTCGGGGGGTATTTCAATTCGTCAGAGGGTGCGCGCGAGCGCACCCATTGGGTGTAGTCCCCGAGCCCTGAAAGGTCCTAATGGCTAGAGGGGGGATGAATAGCCTAATAAAATTTCTACAACAACACTTAACAAAAGGATTAGACAAATATGAGGCAAAGCGAGTTTTGT